TGCCCTGTCTATTAAATAGAGGCAAATACTTATACAAATGTTGTTTTCTATATTATGGTACACTGTGTTCTGTTTGGTTTGTATATAAACACAGTATGTTTGAAATAGATGATTCATATCGCAGAGGCTGAGCTTGGTCTACTTGACTTAAATGGCTAGGCTAGACACGAAGCAGGAACGATAAGCACTGTAGGCTAGTCGCAAAGGTTTTATGCGTCATTTGTCCGATTGATAAATCACTGCACTCCAATTGACGGTTTATTCACGTTATACATTAACAAGGCGCACAGGCCAATCAAGATATGGAACGTAGTGAATTCTTAAGAAAAATAAGAGAAATCGACCAAAGCCTCAGTTGCAAAGGCGAACGAAACAAACGACATATTTATCCAGTTCCTGTATATTCAGAGAAGAATGCATCTTCAAACATATTTTGTATATAATTGTAGCGACATACGATTAAATATGTTACAACGAATAGTTGTGTCGAAGTTAGTGTGATAGACAGTGTGAAAATGAGAAGCAAGAACATCAGAATATGGCATTCATTACATTCGAACAAACGTTCGACTTGTACAATACAATCTAAAATATCTGTTGCAAGCCTTGAAGTGACATGATTGTATCAATGAATAAATTGAATGTGTTCAGTGTATGGATGTGCTCGAAAATATTCTATAACAAAATAGATATTAGTGTGTGTGCGTGCCAGAACTTTATGGGTATTCAGAAGGATAGATGTTAATTAGCAGAAGAAATATGATCCATACTGAGTGAAATGAACTTGACAAAATGTTCCACTCAAATAATCGATCGCATTTTATCCAATTTCACTTGGTCAAAGGTTTCTTCGTGTGCGGATGTTCACCACATTCAATTCTGTGCTACAACTGAAGACTGTAGTATGTTTCCACTTGGGTAATGTCATGCATAAAATGTTGACTTCATAACACGTCTGTCTTCGAAAATTACCAATTTACTTCATTCCAGTGCATATGCACACAATTTTACATGATAAAGCACAGTTAATTCTCAGCCACATGACACACACTTTTTTGACATTTGTCGAATTGTATGTTATCTTGTTGTGAGTTAATCATTTTCGAACACTTTCCACTTTCTCTGCATCCCACTTCCTACTGTTTCCTAATCTAAACTCCTTTCTCCTCAACATTTTACCCTTTCACATGATACATTAGTAATACTAGTAGTATCTGTATAACATCGTTTATCTTCTGTCTGTTAATCACGTTATTACGACATGTTATTCAACAGTTGATTATGAACTGGATTTGGAAATTGTATAGTTCACACATCAATATGATCAGACAGACTGAACTTGTAATGATGGAAAGCGAAGTCATACAGACATGAGAGGCTGTGAAAGACTGCTCAGAGAATAATTTATAACCTAGTCTCCCTATAAGCTGAATATTCTGTGAAATAATGACAACCAGTGAGTGTTTATATCAGGCACAAGTGAACTGACACACAACCAAAACATGATCACAATTTGTACGAACTAATCAATATGAGCACATTTTTGAGAATTCACGAACAATCATTCGAGTGAATAGAGATAGACATGAATCAATACAATATCATCTATGATGCGACAACTAAACATGAAAAGGTCAGGAAAGTTCAAACAACAGTTTCTACTATTCTGTAATGCTAAGTCACTATACAACTGTACATTTGATTATGTGTTTACGGTTAAATTGGTTAATGGTCATCAAAGACCATGACAATCAAACTAGGTTTATCATGTACAGGCGTTGTGAAAGCCCGACAACTAGCATAATCTTTACTCTTTAAGATATTTGACGTTCATGCAACCTAATGTGTTTTCTCCTTTAGACACATTTAGTAAGTTGTCCTGTGAAAATCCAATTACCATGGAGTGAATAAATCCTTGTGAATCTATCGTCAGTGTCTGCACCATAAATAATCACACTTGAGCGTTTATTATTGATGAAGCCGTGAAATGTTAAATGCCGTTAAAGTTAAGTGATACACTTGATGAATCTTATCTCTGCAAAATACGTGGACAGTGATATCAACTTCGCAACCTTCATCAATTGATCATCACTGTACTCAGTCTATTTTCAATAAGATTTTCACAATGATCTCCTCATCACTGCATGGTATTTATTCAAATACGCACACTGAATGTACACTGTACTGTACACTGTACAGTTGTGCTTAATCCGCAGTATCAATCTTTGCGACTTTTGTTTAATAAGTCTATAGTTCATGTATTGTAGTGCGCGTTTCAATTCTCAGTGTCGTAACTACAAATCGTAACCTACTGTTGAGCAGATGTAGTTTACATCGTTCATCAGCGCAACACATCCTTGATTGACATTTGTAAATTAGTCTATTTGGAAGAAATTTCACCACGAATTGTTGAGTTCGATGAAGAGATATCTGTCACTGTTGCAGACGCGAACGAAGCGGACACAAGTAAGGCGAGATTCGCAAGCTGGCGATCTGGTCT